TTCAGGGGTTCCGGGCCTAGAGTTTGTGATAAAAACACGGGAACAAGAAGCGTGAGGGTTGCAGCACCATGAGTTTCGGGTTTAGGGGTTTAGGGGTTTAGGGTTTAGGGGTTTAGGGGTGTAGGGTGTAGGGTGTAGGGGTTTAGGGTTTAGGGTTTAGCTATTTGTTATCGGTAACTGTGCTTATAGGCTACTAGCTTAAAGGAGTTTTTGCACTATGTGGCCTTTTGGTTGAAGGATCTCCGGATTTAGGAATCCCTGAAACCCAAACCTTTTGTCATGATTCGGACCTTTTTAGCGGTCTAGGGTTTAGGGTTTAGGTTTTAGGGTTTAAGCTTGATTTGCTGATGGTTTACCGGCACACCTTTAGGGGCTCAAGCTTCGGAGACTTAAGATTGCGAGAATTCGAAAGTGTGCAGTCGGTGGGGGCCCCGGGTTTTGTCGGTTAGGATTTTAGGGTTAAGGATTTAGGGGTGGGTTTAGGGTTTCAGGTTTAGGATTCAGGGTGGAGGGCTTGAGGGTTTTCAAGCAAGGCCCTCAGAGTATTCCAGTGTGTGACGTCACCTTCGGCACAGCCTTTCACGGCACCTTCCAGTATTCGTCCCACCCGGCTCGAGAAAGGCAGATCGGCTAGAAGAATTGCAGTACCAAGTTTGGAGGGAGCAGTTGGCTTTTGAGACACTTTCAACTGCAGTGTTGCTGCTGCTTGAAGTTTGCATTCTCAACTTGGTGTCCAAGGTGAGGGGTGAGATCTAATTTCTGACAGGAATGGCCATGACAACCAGTGAGCTGCAGGCGGAGATCGAGGCCACCAAGCTCAGGCTGCAGGCAGCAAGGACACCTAAACCCTAAACCCTAAACCCTAAACTCTAAACCCCCTAAACCCTAAGCCCTAAACCCTAAACCCCCTAAACCCTAAGCCCTAAAGCAGCAAGGACACGGTCTCAGGAAATTGATGACGAGATTGATCGCGCGACGGAGCGGCAGCGGCTGCGCCGGGAGCTGGAAGAGCTCAAGGCGGAGCTACTCGAACAAGAGGATCTGAACGGTTCGGACGAAGCATACAAAGGAGACATCGATGCGGACGAATCTGGACAGTTTGTTTGTTCTTCAGAAGCTTGCAGCCGCCAGCCGGTCCAAGGTCAGCGCAAGAACGGTGCCGTGCGTGCAACCGGTGATGCCTGCACGAACTTTGGCCACCAAATCTTGGAAGGCGAGTTCACATGGAAGCTTCTTCCGATGTCCTGGCTTCGAACAGCGCTTTGCCATGAACGGTATCCTGTTGCGAATTCCACCGTCTTTTTTGTGGGCGGGTTCGCATTCTGCTTTGTCTACAGTCCATCTGCAGGCCCCATCATCACAACGACCGCCGATAGCAAGAGACGCTGTGGTTCCCTTGCCATACGCGCATATGACTGTGTAGAGCCCATCGCACTGCGCTACAGCATTTACGTCAAGAGGAGCACAGGTGACTTCGTCCAGTGGGGTGCTACACAGGATGAGATCCACCCGGCACATGAACTCAGAGCCTATGGCCCAGATGTGCATCCGGAGGGATCTCCCCCACAGGCGATCGGAATCTTTGGCCTGACTCATGAACAGCTTCTGCAATCAGAGTGGGTGCAGGACGACACTTTGACCTTGAAGCTGGTTTTGGAAGTCCGTCTTTTGGGAGTTCAAGTCACGTCCCAGCGCTCTGAGAGAGAGGCGGTGGACGTTCCCAAGCCGACCCTGCATCGTGACGTGGAAGCTCTCTTTGAGGACACCCCTAAAGCCCTAAACCCTAAACCCTAAACTCTAAACCCCTAAACCCCTAAACCCTAAACCCCTAAAGAGGACGCGACTTCGGGCGATGTGCAGTTCAGAGTCCAGGATGAAGTGATCCACGCGCACTCGCAGGTTCTCTGCGCCAGGTCGGAGGTGGGAGTTTCCGAAAATTAGGGTTTAGGGTTTAGGGTTTAGGGTAAGGGGTACCTTATTTTGGGCTCCTTATAATAAGGATCCTACTATTTAGGGTAGTATATGAGGGTCCCCTATTTTCGGAACCCCCCAGGTGCTCAAGAAGCAACTGAACTCAGGCATGCAGGAGTCCACTTCGAAGGTGATCATGGTTGAAGACTGCGCTGCGGATACGTTCAGGGCCTTCTTGAGGTTTCTCTACACGGACGACCTTCCCACTCTCGAGGATCTAGCGAAGCTATCCAGCCAAGCTGTGAAGAAAGAAGGCAGTCAGCCTCTGTCACAGATGGAGGCATTGTGGGCGGTCAGTCACAAGTACCAGGTGGGGTGTTGGCAAAGCTTACCATCCGTACGAGGTCCTTCCACATTGGCATAGTCAAGAATACATGTACATATGCACACGCATACAACAGGCAAGCATAGTCTTCTAAGCAAGTAGACAAATAAATACGTGTGTATACTAGTGTAGACATATGTGTGAGAACACTGAGTACCGTAACCCCCATCAAAACTACGCGGACTCCGTACGGAGTACCGTCTAGTACCTGCCAAAGTATCTGCATAGTGTTAGACTTAAGCATGGACTCGAGTTCGAGTTCCAAATGCACCTAATAGTAAATATGTACGGATTACAGCCCTGTTCCCTTGCTGTTCTGTGGGAGAACTAGTGAGTTCCAGATACATACCTGTAGTCGCGTCGCGCGCATTTCAAGATGCAAGCAGTAGATACGGCCACTTCATACCTTTCCTGCTAACTAAATACGGAAAGACCCAGTCAAAGGCAAATTCATCAAGCACGGATTACAATCCTGATCCTGCTACTTAGCATAGCGATCAGAGCAAGACATGCCTCTGAAGTATGGACGTCATCTCATTTTCGCTACATAATTAGGAAGGCACCGCGAAAACCATCTGTGAAAGAGCTTACTAGAGCCTGATGTTCCTGCTACACAGACAAGCCACTGACATCAGCATCAAGCGAGTCAGCTACGGGGCTCGAGCGCGAAATGCACATGTCCCTGTGAAAGCAAAACACGCATCTTAGACAACTATACTGCAGGTACAGCGGCTCCAGCGGTGGTGCGAAGCGCAGCTTTGCAACCAGCTCAGCGCCGAGCAGGTTTGCTGCATCCTTCGCCAGGCGCATGTCTTCGAGGCCACGCAGCTCGAGAAGGCGTGTCTCTCCTACATCAAAGATAACTCTGGGCAGGTGCTCAAGCTTCAGGCCTACAGTGATCTCATCAGCAAATGGCCTGAAGTTGCGTTGAAGATTCACCTCTTCACGGCCGGTGTGCCAGAAGCCGAGGCAGCTGCAATCGTGCAGACCCGCAAGGTTCGAAGGTTGAATGAGGGTGCGGAGAGAACTTCATAGAGAGCGTCTGCAACCCTACGGCAATAGCTTTGGCACTTCGCTCACCGACGAGCGGCAGCTGTGCACCGATTTGAAAGCCAGGTTCCCTGTGCCATCCTGTCCTGTGCCATGTTCATGACTCACTGGCTTCGACATCGCCATGCGGACTGCTCAAAAATCTCCAGAGTCTGGCCAGAAGTTGGGTCTGCTTTGACTTGATATTCAAACGGGGGGGTAATCTTTTCCATCTGCCAAGCAGTAACGAGTAGGCTCGAACTCGAAAGCTTGCACCATTGCTTTGAGGCCATGTCGCCGTCACACCTTATTATCCAGCCAGACCCAGCCAGAGAGAGGGCCCTCCTTTACAGTCAGCAATTATCTTAAATGAAACTCGTTGAAAAGAGCGCAGAGTACTAGGGCTCATGCGACCCTCAGCACATGCAGTAGAGCTTGAAAGACCTTCGACCCTCAACTAAAGCCGCCAGCAGCTCGCCGTGGATTTAGTCGTCGTCGTAGTACAAGTGCTAGTAGTTGTAGGAGTACTCGTAACAGTAGCACCCTGAACCCTAAACCGAAAGCTCTATACCCTGAGCTCGAAACCCTACTACCCATTTCTACCCTAAACCCTAAACCCCTTAACCCCTTAAACCCCCAAACCCCTAAACCCTCAACCCTCAATCCCTAAACCCTAAACCCTAAACCCCTAAACCCCAAACCCCTTAAACCCTCAACCCCCACACCCCTAAACCCTCAACCCTCAACCCTCAATCCCTAAACCCTAAACCCTAAACCCTAAACGCCTAAACCCCTAAACCTCTAAACCCCTAAACCCCTAAACCCCTACACCCCTAAAGCCCTAAACCCCTAAACCCTAAACCCCTGTACCCTAACCGCCAAACCCTAAACCCCTACAACCCTAAATCCCTAAACCCTAAACCCCTAAACCCTAAACCCCTAAACCCAAAACC